AGTCTCACTCTGTTGCTGAGGCTGGTCTCAAATTCCTGGCCTCAAGTACTCTTTCTGCTTCAGCTTCCCAAAGTTCTGGGATTATAGGATGAGCCACTACACCTGGCCCTCTGTACTTGTCTTCTATTGCACTTAGCATAATGTCCTCAAAGTTCATCCATGTCGTAGTATGTGAAAGCATTTTCTTCTTTTATAAAGCTGAATAGTATTCCACTGTATGAACGCATCACATTTTGTTTATCCATTCTTCTGTCAATGGGCATTTGGGTTGCTTCCACCTCTTGGCTTTGTGAATAGTACGGCTATGAACATGGATGTGCAAATACCTCTTCAAGATCCTATTTCCAGTTTGGGGGGTATTAAGTGGGACTGTCATATCATAGTTCTATTTTTAACTTTTTGAGAAACCAACATACTCTTTTCCATAGTTATTACATCATTTTACAATCCCACAGCAGCATGCAAGAGTTCCAATTTCAAAGTGTTGTGTTTTTATCTTGCATTTGTTTGACGACTAATGATGTTGAGTACTTGTTCACATTTCTTGTTCATTTAGATCTCCATTTTTATAAGGTGTCTGTTCTGGTCTTTTGTCAATTTTCCTAATAGCTTGTCTAGATGAGTTCTTTATACATTCTAGATATGAGCTCTTTATTGGTTATATTTGTTCCAAATATCTTCTCCTACTTACTCTATGATTTCCTGACTTGGGATCACCAGGCTTTCCATTGGCCATGGGGGGAGGGCCCAGAAGGCTAGGTGGTCCGACGGGACTCCCATCTTCCTCATCTCCAGTCTCTTCCCTCTCCGATAATAGGGGCTGCTGCGGTGGCGGCGGTAAGTGGTGCTGATTCTGCTTCTTTAGTTTTGGCATCGCGGCTGAGGCAATGGCTGCAGCGGGAATTGGAGGGCAGTGAGGAAGGGGCACGCTGGGATTCCCTTGACTTCTAATAAAATACTTTCCCAAGCTCATGAAGATACTTTCTCATATTATCTTAGAAATGTTGTTTGTCTTTTACATTTGATCTTCAGTACTCCGAGAAGAGGTTTTCTATATATGTTGTTATGTGTAGGGTTAATAGTCATTGGTTTTTGTTTTTGTTTTTTTTTAATATGGGAATCTCTTTGACCAAGTATTATTAATAGTTATGCTGCCATGCAGTGGCCTTTGTTTTAAATCTCAGGTCTGTATGTATATGGGTCTGGTGTGAAGTTCTCTGATCTTTTGGTTTGTTTGTCCATCCTTCACAAATATGTACTATCCTAGTAATTCTGCAAGAGTTTTGATTAGGATTTACTGTATCTGTAGATCAAAATAGATGTTGAGTCTGTTAATCCTTCTGATCACTGAATGTGATACAACCTTCTGTTTACATAGTTCTTTAATTTCTCTCAAAGTTTTTTATTCTTTTCTGTATATAAGATTTACATATCCTGTACGAGTTAGAGTTAGCTGTTCTTATATAAATGGTACTTTCTTTGGCGTTCTTATAAAGGATACTGTTTTTTTTGTCGAGACAGAATTCTACCCTATGCCCAGAACAGAGTGCAATGGTGTCCTATCTTACTGCAGTCTCAGACTCAGGCTGTGGGTGTCAGCCTACAAAGCCACTGGGATTACAGGTGCTCGCTGTGGCACCCGGCTGGGTTTTTTCAATTTTTTTCATGAGTCGGCGTCTCATTCTCGATCAGACAAACCCCAAACTCCTGAGCTCAAGCAGTCTCAAGCAGTCCTCCCGCCTCAGCCTCCCACAGTGCTGGGATTACAGGCGTGAGCCACTGCACCGGCAGAATACTGTTTTTTACATTCTTCTGTAATTATTTGTGCCTGCTTTAAAAGGCTCATTACTTTAATCTGGTTGCATAGTACATTTAAATTAAAAATTCAACCTAGTAATCTAGTACTTTTATTATTTCATTCTCATCCATCTTCCCTTTCTTCTTCTCCCCTATCTCTCTTTATAGAATTCATTTCCAGAAAACTGTCTGTGGCTGGGTGTCCGTAGTTCAGTGGTTAGGGAGCTGGCCACATGCTCTGCGGCTGGTGGGTTCAAACCCGGCCTGGACCTGCTAACAAAAAAAATAGCTGGGCGTTACAACGGGTGCCTATAGGCCTAGCTACTAGGGAGG